ATAACGATGTGTCAGTTTCATCTTTACAAATAGCAAAATAATCGGTCGTTAATTTTGCAATTGGCGCTTTGTAGTCGTAATCGAAATTGCAATTTCTATGCACTAATTACAGGTGAAAAAAAAGTTGGTTTCAAGACAGTTTTTACACTAGACGCTTGTTGCCTACTTACATGCCAATTTTACCTTGGAAAACGTGTACTTTTAAAATAATTGGTATTTTAGTACCTATCTATTGATTTTTTTCAAGTTGGAAAAGTAACCATATCAGGGATATCACAATTGCACTGTTTAAAGTTCTTTAATATTTTATTATATTTTTATTATTTTGTAATTTTATGGTATTTCTAAATAGAACTATTTTTTCAGATTGTCATTTGGAAAAAATTATCAGTTCTATATCATAAGCTCGTTATTCATTTTTATACGATCCGCACTCATTTAAAACTTTTCAATTAAAATAAATAGTATCTCTACGTTAAATACATTTGTCAAATATCAAACTGTTACATCTCAATTAATTACATGAAATAGCGCGACAAAATGACAAGCCTGCAAGAGTCAACAAGCGTACATTAATAGCAATGCTAGAAGCGACCATTGCATAACTCGTCGCGCGTGCTTGAAAGAGACACTTAATTAACTGGAGTCGCTTTCTCGTTCGCCGAAGCCAAACGATTCTTTTCTGTAATTTTAGTCTTTTTTTTTTATTTCATCCGTTTCCGCGGAAAGTAAGACTTTGTCAGGATAAAAACTATTTCCTCGGTATTCGGTGGGAAATCCTTTTTGGTCGCGGCGTCTGATTTATTATCTGCAGCAAGTCTCCGTCTGTCGAATCTGTGTCAACGCGCATTTTTCTTAATAAGACGCGCCGGATGAATTCTCATTCGAGCTCCACTGATAATCCGATCTCCGCGCTGCTTTTAATCTGGCTAATGAAAATGGACGGCGGTCCGAGCGCGACATCGATTATTAAATAAGGTCTCATCGCTTTTTTCTTTTCTCTCCTTTCTCTTCCACCTCTTCTTTTTCTTCGTATTTGTCTGACGAGCTCTTTGAAGATGTATAGCTCGAATCATGTTTTTCATCTGATAAGGGTTATTAAAATGAATCTTCTGAGCAGACAGCGGTATAATCGTTATTTCAGCGGTTTGATTCCGGCTCCGCATGACTTCATCGACTAAAGAACTAAATAATTTTACTAAGTTCGGGGAAAAAATGTATTATTTAAAAAGCTTTTGTGTACGAGTATAATATATTAATTGCTCTACAGCGGATATTAAAATTGATTTATTAACGAAGTGTTTGCAGTGTATTAATATGTGAAGTACCATCGAATTATCGACAGATTTGAAAATAAAATTTCATGAGCTGGTTGAAATATAATTTCGTGCTAATAAACGGAAATGTCAATTGTTAATGATTATATCGTTGACCAACGAAATAAAAATAATTAGAATAATTTTTAGGAATTGCATCGTATACTTGAAAGGTAGAAATTGATCGTCGTAACAAGTTGAACCGTGTATAGACAAATTTAAACAAGAAAATACATCAATCAAGTGTAAGCAAGACTGTCAGTTTATCACGTAGAGCCATGCAAATGAAGGTGGCGGGATGGCGCGGGAGCTTGCATGCGCGAACCTGTTTGGACTGAGAACCCTAATTGTAATCAAAACTTTATCGCTATGGGTGGCACGCAGCAGCCAACGTAGTATATGTGTCTATAGGTGTGCGCTAGGCTTTGGTATTAAGGGCCCTTCGCATGACATCTCTCTGTATTTGATAAGTGAAAGTGCTCTATGACGCTTATTACAGTACCTAGACAAACGCCGACAAGATGTGGCAAGCGCTAATTGCACTTCGCCAACTCAAAATGCTTTTCTTCCTGTAGTAGTTGCGCGCGCGTCGCACAATTACGCCTGCGTAAACAATTACAAGCTCGCGCTCGCGTGGATTGCTGAAGCGCGTCTGCACAATGATTCGTCGAATTTACACGCTCGCGTGGATAAATATAAGCGCGTTTACCTCAGCTAATAGGTAAACTTGCTATTGTAATTACTATATGCCAAATTGATGCAGCGCGTAAGTGCACTATGCAAGTGCAATTGACCCGGTTACCGGATGGCTTGACAAAGTTCCGGCTTTTCGCTGAAACTTTGGTAGGCGCGTGCGCTTCATAACCGAAGTCGCGCGTAAGAATTAACGGGCTTCCCGATAAAAATCGGGCGCTAGGGCGAGCGCAACAAGACTGCTCGCCGGCACACCAGTTTCAGCAGCGAAAGCTGCGCGCTGCACGCCTTGGCAATAGCAATTTGCCAAGGTTAATCCTCTCGGGAGTCGAGCTTAAAACCGTGAGTACTTTGCGAGCGCTTTCTCTTTTATTACGTCTAATAGGGCCGGCCGAAAGATAAGACGATAATCTAGCGATTAATAGCGCCCCATTAGCGCTCGCTCGCGCACTACGCTCCGCGCGACGCGGCGACAAAGCGAAAGCTTTTCTTGCGTGTTCTCACACGGCTAATAAAATTCATCCCTGGCTCGCTGCCGAGCGAAGGTGCGCGCGCGCGACCAGGCGACGCAGCTACGCGCCGTAATTAAAGCCGCCAAATTTCAAGGCCCAAGCGCCGAATGCAAATCGCCCGAGCGTTATAACAATAAGCTCGCGAAAGAGCTATCTCCGAGCCCCGCTTCTCCTTCTCCGAGCAACGACAGCTGCTTGCCATTTCCTCGCCGGCGTGGCTAATTGTGAATTCGTCGACTTGCGGCGGCGGTGCGCGCTCACGTTATAGCTTATTTTGCGCCGCCGAGCGGATTCGACTACAATGAAATTTCCAACTGTGGCCTTTTTACGGAACTTGCCAATTTTCCAGTTGCGCGTCAAACTTAATTACTTCACGCGCCTGCTAGTACCTTGCTGTTGCTGAGCAGGCATTAACATTTTTTGATGAAGGCTTCGCCGTATAATCAAGAGAAGAACTTGTCCATTGCGCCATCCTTCCCTCTGCAGTTCATTCTTTCAAATTAATTTTGAAGTTGATAATAAGCCATCTTTGGAAAAACAGTCCTGATATAATTAAAAAACCTATGGAGAAATTAAACGCAATAAATTGCACACTGCAAACTTCTTCTATGAAGCTTACTTAGATAATATAGACAATATAACTGTAGATATAATTTTGTAAAGTTTCGTAGTGTACAAACTAACCAAACTGTTTATTGTCACAGGGTTGATGACATTCCAATCGACACGGTTTACATGGAAAAACAAGATCGACGAGGCGAGCCACTACAGAGTAGGTATAGTGATTGCCCCCCTCCCCTCCCCCCCCTCCCTTTCCTCCGCCTCACTCCGCCCCAAAGGAATACACTTAGTTCGTGTAAACCGTATCGTATGTTTGGCCGCTTCCGAATGCATTACATCAGTCTCTCTTTGAGTTACGCATTTCCTAATTGGTGCCACAGGGGAGTCGCTCGATGCCAAACACCAGTCAACCGCGATCTCATAGCTGCAAAGCTAGCGTGCATCGAATTTATCTTAGTTCTACCGAGGATGTGCGGAATGAAACTATTTTTTCGCTTTTATAAAAGTCTTCGGCATCTGAATGGAAGAAAAAGAGCGAACGACGAAGTCACAAAAACATTGTAATATTTACTGAGTGCCCGAGTAGCGCATTAACAATGACTGCCGAGTAAAATGCAATTCAAATAGGTCTCTCTGTTGAACTGCTGGCGCGACATAATAATCTCTCCGAGTCCGTTGTTCTGGTAAAATCAACAAGCAACGAAATTTTGCATTGAGTCCAGTATTCGAGCGAGCGGCGGCGTCGTGTATATACACGCTCGGCATATTTGCGTACACCTGCGCGAGAGCAGAAGAAGGTACAGTAGCGATCGAACGTACATATTTGTATCTAGTTGGGCGTGTTTTCTCGCCGGCGGCTATTCTCTCCCTCTTTGGCTCTCTTACTCTTTCCCGTGGGGACGTAGCAAATGTCCCGCGTGATTCTGGCCCCCGGCATGCATCACGCTGCATGCGCACGATGCACCCACAGACACAGACGAAGAGCCACACAAACATAGTTTTCAGCGAGACTCAAAAGACCGCCGGATGCGCGACATTGTTTTATGCTCGTGCGCCGTTACACCGAGTAAAGGAGACTTGCCAGCGGCAAATCTAATCTGTTCATCTGCCGAGAGAGAAAGGGAAGCTGCCATGGGCGCCGGCAGCAGCTTTTATCGCGAGAAGCGTTATGCCGCCGAAGTAGAGACTCATGGCTACGCGAATTACTTTGCGTGCGTAGACTAGACCTATATACATCCCAACAAGAAATTTAATTTCCAGAGGATTGGCCTGGGCTTTCGCTATATTTCTCTAAAGTGCATTGGTAGTCCTTTAAAAGTACAGAAATGAAAGATGATCATGTTTACGAAAGAGCGGATTACGAGAACAAAACTAAATTTTACGCTCGCTAATTGGGCTATTACTTAAGTGGATTGTTATTCGAATTTTCCATGAAAATATCGCGCTTCTTTTATTTATTACTCTATTCTAAGACGTCAGTTTTCAAAAAATTTATCATCTTTTTTTTTCTTTTTTTTCAATATTAATACCATCTGATTATATCATACAGTTTCAAAACATTGCCTTCGTTAAAAACAAATTAAACATTTACTCAATGAAATAATTTTTACTTTACCGCTTCGCCGTCAAGTTCCCTTTTATAAGACGATTACAACGTCAATTGGTAAAAATAAATTGATAACAGCATTTCATGAGCACTAGAAAAATTCGATACTAAAGTAGGTCGCGTAAATCGTCAAATTTATAAACTGATTGTTGAATTCATTTGCGCGATGTGTAAGCATAGATTAATGATATCTTCAAACCATAAACTCTCAACTGTGCAGATTATTAAACAAATTAAATATTTAACATTTATGTATTGCTCATCAATATTTTTAGAAATTGTAATAATTCATATTATTTTATCAAGTTTGTATAAAGTATGCAACTGCTTCACCAATCAATGAGACACAGTGAGAATACGTAAACAAACTATAAGTAAATCATCACTCGACCGATAAGCATAATTAACTGAGTATATATCGATTTGAAGCACTGAATAAACTTGCATTGGCATGTTAGAGCTGTAGCAAAATGTGTTGCAAAAAATTTAGTGAGTCGACATATATTTAAGGTGAGTTCACGTTAATTATAGGGCTTCCTTTTTCTATTTTAGCTGTCTAATACTTGATAGAAAATTATAATTTCAATACCTTTCGTTGAAGATTTGTGTATCTATTATAAGTTTTAATTATTATATTTAAATTAAGATATTATAACAAAATTATTAAATTTTTCCTTCTATGGACTTTGAATAAAAACTTACTTATTTCAGAAAATAAAAACATCGAACCCACTGAAATAAAAATATTATCTAACTGTAAGATATAAATATTGAACTACTAAATATGAAGCCGAGATTATGGCAGTGTTTAATGTATGTAGTGATATTATTGCCGTATTTCTGGTAAGTAAGCATATTTATAGAAAACAATTCCCAATTTATGATATCATTCTGAACGCAATATAGACTGTTTTAAGTTTAATTTATTTTTTGAATACTATTTGATAATATATTAATTCAAATTATCATTTTTAAATAACAGGAGTCGAACCAGAAAAAATATATATTAATCCTGTAATTTCAGTTATTTTTACACTAAATTTTATATTAATAAAATTTGATAATGAAGTGTGTTTTAATTTTTTTTAAAGTTTCGTAAATGGAAATGAGCTAGAAAACTTAGATTTTCCTGAGGATTTTATTATTGGCGCTGCAACTGCGGCTTTTCAAGTTGAAGGAGCTTGGAATTTGAGTGGTAATAGTATATAATTTATTGTAAAAATAAAAAAAAGATAACAGTTAGATAGATACATTATATGAAATAATAGGTAAAGGAGAAAGTTTATGGGATCGATATACTCATTCTAAATCACACAGAATTCGCGATCACTCTAATGGGGACATTGCTTGCGACTCATATCATAAATATAAAGAAGACGTCCGTTTGTTGAAGCAAATGGGTGTAAGTAATAATTTGGCTTCAAATGCTCAGTAATACAATTTCCACTATCAATTAGTTTTTGTAATTCATTACTTACGAATCGTAATTAAAGAGTTCGAAAATTAATATATTTTTATTGATATCATTTTTAGATGGACTTTTATCGATTTTCTTTTAGCTGGCCTAGAATTTTACCGACGGGATATGCAAATAATGTTAATAAAAATGGCATAAAATACTATCATGAATTACTAGACGAATTAGAGAAACATAATATAAAACCAATGGTAACTTTATATCACTGGGATCATCCACAAGTATTTCAAGAACTAGGTGGTTGGACAAATGAAGTCATGGTAGATCTTTTTGGAAATTATGCAAGAGTCGTGTTTCAAGAATTTGGTCATCGTGTGAAGATCTTTTCAACAATTAACGAGCCAGCTAGTATCTGTACGAACGGATATTTTGTAGGTTCATATGCACCAGGTAAGTAAATATGTATTGTGCAATAAATAACAGAAAGTGTAAGATTTTTAAATTATTTTGTATTTATTTTTAAGGTTTGGAACGAAGACGAGACGCTGAATATCTTTGTAATCATAACATTATTAAAGCTCATGCTCGCGCCTATCATATTTATGACAAAGAATTCAGACCTCAACAGCAAGGAAAAATTGGAATTGTTTTGTCCAATGTTTTTTATTTTTCTAAAAATGATTATGATCATATTTCAGATGAAATAGGTTTCCAATTTCAATTTGGAATGTATGCTCATGCAATTTTCACTAAAGAAGGTGATTATCCTGCTATTATAAAGAAGAGGATAGCTGAAAATAGTGCATTTGAAGGTTTACCAAGTTCAAGACTCCCCACATTCTCCAAAGATTGGATTAATTACATAAAGTAAGTCTATAAAAAAAAATAGAGGTTCTCAATTAGACTTTAATCTTCTTGTCATTGATATTAGAAATACTTCTGATTACTTGGGAATTAATCATTATACTACCAAGTTAGTAGAACCAGCGCCAAAGTCGAACTGCACTATTTATGAAAATGATGACGGTCTTGTCTACAGTTATGATGAACAGTGGCATTCGACAGCTAGTGATTGGATAAAAGTACGAAATGAAAAACTCAAAATTTCTGTCATGTCATGTGTAATTTTATTTATATAAACCTTCAAAATTGAAATTTATTAATAATTCTAAATGATACAGATCGTTCCTGAAGGATTTTTAGCTCTTTTACTCAAAATAAAGGATGAGTATGGAAACCTTGAGATATATATTACTGAAAATGGTGTTTCAGATTCCGGCACATTAGAAGATAATCAAAGAATCAAATATTACTATTCATATATTAAATCTCTTTTAATTGCTATAAAGAAACACAATTGTAATATAAAAGGATACACTTTATGGAGTTTATTGGATAATTTCGAATGGGACAGAGGATACACGTAAAGATATTAATTAGATTTTATTCTTTGGATTGAATAACCTGATATAATACATAATTATGATTTTAATTCTTATGTTTAGGGAAAAGTTCGGTCTATTTCATGTTGACTTTAGCAGTCCAAATAGAACAAGGACTCCAAAGAAATCAACAAATTGGCTAAAACAAATCATTCGTGAGCGAAAGCTATTACCGATACCAACATAGATAATGTTTGTTAAAGGCTATTTTAATATTATAATAATCACAGTATGATGTCAATAATATTATAAGAGAATATATTTTTTGAAAGTCTTGATTTATTTGAGATGTAGTAAATTTTAATTAGAGGTTGATTTATTCTGCTTAGTTTTTTAATATAGTAAGGTTATTCATTGTATTTGATGATTTTAATCTCTTCAGCATGTGATTTGTTAATCTTTTAATAAAGCCATTTTACTTCTATTAGCGTCAATATATGAAAAGAGACTTCAAATGAGTATTTTTCATTTACTAAGTCTATTCACTGAGTAAAATATGATTTGTGAAACTGGATAATGCATGTAAAATACGATCTTTAGACATTTCAAACAGCTCTTTCGTAATAGAAAGTGAAAAGCACTTCTGTCAAAGTTAAGATTTTCGCAATAGATTTTGGTTTTACGACTGACGACTGTACCCGTTACTATCTTGTGAAAAGATGCACGTTACCCAGAGAAACTTGAGCTTATCTTCGTATTTTACAACTTTACGAGGTGAAATAATTTTCAGTGATATTTTGATGGTTGAAAAATCTATGTCTGCTGAGAAGAGATTGATTGATATTTTCTAAGTGAAAACCCAGCAAAAATCTCCAAGAGTAAGACTTTTATTATAGAGCCAGCCATTGATAGTTCAATGTTCTCTTTCACGAAAGCATCGGCGAACTGCAGGCAGCGACAGCAGCAGCTTCGAAAAGGAGTATTATAGCGATGGAAAAAAGTACGGTGCAAGTCTTTGTTTAAAAGAGCAGCAGCCCATAGGAAAAGTCAGCGTATACGTACATATACCTATGTAGCTGAGAGCACACGTTATGCACTCGCGAATATTGGCAGCGAAATGGAGCGCAAGTCGGACGGCAGCGGCACATACCATAAAAGACAAAAGTTTTTCGGGATAATGGCTCGTACATAAACGACCGCGAGGGCGCAAGAGTAGAGGGTGGAGGGAATAAACGGCGCGGCTGCTGGTGGCGCGCTCGGTTGAATTAACGGAGCGGCAGGTTGCGCCGACGGCGAATCGATGAGGTTCGGTCGCTTGCACGCACCTTTTCAGCTGCGAGCGAGCGTCGCGGCGCCGATAACGGCGAATTAAATGCGCGCCGCTGTGCCGTGTCGTAAACAGTCGCGACGGCGTATCGGTTTCTCGCCTATACTCTGCTGTCGTTGCCATGCGACGACGTCGGGCAGTTAACAATGAGCCGAAATCGCTTCGTCTCAATGGGATCTCAGCTTGCTGGGAAAACTTAATTATAAGAAGTTATTATCGACTCGAAGATTGAATTTGCGGCCTCGACAGCTGTCGTCGTTGCGCAGTGGTTTTAGGGAGAGGACACGCGATAGTGTATATATAGCCTATAGCCTCGAGATAGTCGGTCTCGATTGTGTGCCGTTAATTCCCTGTGGAGCCCCCGGCCAGTATATATTCGACCCGGTTAATTGCGCTATATCGCCTTTGCCTGTATATGCATGAGACAGCCACAACGACGACGACGACGACGACGACGACGACGACGACGACGACGACGACGACGACGACGACGACGACGACGACGACGACTAGCTCGAGGAAGTGCAGAGTTTCGCAGTTGACTGTTATAACAGCCAGATATTCATGCGCTTTCGGAACCAGATGCGACGATTGACCGTGTGGTCGAAAAGCGGAAAGCGCTACGAGCCGCCGCTCTGCCAGAGACAACTTGTTCTGACTTTCGATCGACTAACTTTTCCTAACGCGTTACTGTTCTGCAAACTCGTTCGCAAAGCCAAAATGTTTAATGTAAAATTCGATTGGTTTACAAAAATCAACATTTACTGACATGACTATTTTTGCTGATTTAATCTATGAAAGTGCATCATAAAATAGTTTTGGTTAAAATTAGATGACTCACAAAGAGATACGTACATCTAATCACAATTTGAAACCAGTCCCATTACGTGCGTGTTATCCATACTCGAGATTTCAGTTGGCTTTTAAGTTCTTACATATATATATACATATATACATATATACACATATATATATATATATATATATATATATATATATATATATATATATATATATATAATATATATATATTATATCCCGTGTTTTGAGATAAGGGTGATACATCTGAAAAGTCAATTCATCAAAGCTGGGACTAAGATTTTGAGGACGACTGAATTGTATAATTATAGAGGCATTCTAACAGGTAAGATGTTGGGTTTAATTTGGGAGGTTTTCACAATCAATTTAGATATTCAAAAACGGATATTACAAATATGACGAACTTACTTAGTTTTCAAAAGAAGCATTAATGAACAGAAAGAAATTTTTTCAATAAGATTTATTGATCCCCTCTAAAACAAATAATACAATCATCTAAAAATTAATTGACAAGGTAATTCACTCGAGACATGCTACGATTTGTACCAAATCTTGTATTATATATTACGTGTAACTATGTACTAACCCATTATCAATAACTCAACACACTTGAGCATTAAATTTCTAGTATATGAAATATTAGCACTGTGACGAAAAAGTGACTCATTCAAGACGCGTAAGTGCTGAAAACACGGGCGATCTTGAAGATTGTAATTTTTAGCGCATTTGCATATAAGTTTTTGAGTAATATCGTGCGTATCTTGAACAGAAAAGGAGAAGAGAAGAGGTGGAAGATGAGGACGAAAGAGTTGAAGGAAACGAGGAGGAGAAGGCGGATAAGACGAGATAAGAGCAAAGCGGCCTGTAGATTAAAGGTAACAGAATACTGAAAAGAGGAAAGCGTACAGTCGTCCGACTCTCGCGAGCTCGAGATAAGAGGCCCATAAGGAAAGATAAGGCTTGTGCAGAAAGAAACAGACTGTAGCCGAAGAATGAAGGAGAAGAGAAGAACGAGAACATTAAAAGATTTTTTTTTCATTCAAACTTATGATATCTTGTAAAAAATTTGAATTCAGGTTAACGGTCACCGTTTCTTTTAAACCTTCTCAGATACATCAGATAAATGATCAACATTTCTGAATTGTTACTGCTATCAGTTAAGAATAGCGCCATGTCGAAATTTACATAGCCATATAGAGATGATTTTAAGCATTCCTTTTCTGTTTTTAGTCAACCGAATACAAAGTGCAAATAATGCACTGAAATAATCCATCGAAAATTCAGCGAAAAATAAACACACTCTGACAAAGCAGCAGTGGCGAAAGAAACCTCAAGCAAATTGCATTCGCTTGGGGGATTTCGACGAAAAAATTGCACTGGCATGCAATCCTTTGATCGCATCAGGAGCGTCTCGTCAATTGAACGGCAGAGTCTCGCTCTCTCCCTCTCTCTCTCCCCCTCTCCTTCACTCTGACAAAGAAAGCTTCGCGAGCAGCGCACTCGACAATAGCTTGAGTAATTCCCACAAAAGACAGGCGCTGCATGTATAAACACTGTCTTGCGGCTGCGCTCGTGCGCGGGCTAGTCCTCAATTTGCTTTTCCTCGGCGGAGAGAGGGAAAAAATCAGCAGCGATACAACTTTCCTACGACGCCTAATCAGCGCCGGGAGCTGCAACGAAGACAACAATAAAGCCCATAATTCTTCGTTGCTTGGCGCAATTGATAAGAGAGCGAGGAAAAGAGAAGCGTAGGAGGGGGAGGAGGAGGAGGCGTCAGCCCCGCGTATTTCTCGGGGGACGCCAAGATTTTCTCAGCGTGTACGTGCATGCGATAACAAGCCACCGAGCTGCGCCGGACGCCCTACAGCCGCGCCGTCGACGCGAGAAAGCTCAGGAAATCGAGCTCAAGAATAGGCTGACGACGACGAGCTTGCCTCCTTTCTGCTCGCGATGCGCCGACTTGTTTTAACACGCTTGTCGCGAGCACGCGTTTCTTCGGCTCCGATTCGATTAAATTCCCCAACTTCACATTACATTTATTTCACAAAATCAAAATCAAATCATTAAACAATAACATATGCCTAGCTGGTACAATGCCTGGCGTAATGCTCTTTGAGATTTGCCGGTGATGTGGCTCATTAGGACTATTAGCTGTATCAGAGCTCGGGTGAGGTGCACTTTGAAGCATTAATAGCTGATAATCACTAAGCTTAAGTGCATTGGTTTACGAGCTAATCCCAAACGAGATAATAGCTCCTGTTATATCGGGATTGATTAATTCTAACGTATTTTTCTAGATACATATTGTTATTCAATCTTCGACTGCATCGCCAGTACAAAATACAATATTCATTTACGTGTGAGCGTATTGATTGGAATGTTTCTGAAAGCTCGCGCCGTTCGTCACGAAATAATCTTCAATGGGAAATTCTTCTTGCTTTCAGATAGTAAATTGATAGAATTAAACTGAAATATTATAAAACTATATTAAATTTAATGCTGTTTTCTTAATACAATATCTCAGTGATTTTCTAGGTTTCTTTTACAAAAGTAGAAAACGATCTTTTCACAAGAATTGGTCACGAGAACACACATGAGCACTTGTCAAAGCCAACCAACGACATCCGAACAAATAAAATAAAGCTTTTGGAGCGGATACTCTTCTCAGAAGAGTTTCGCAAATGCCATCCCCTATTTCAAACTCAAAGAGCCAATGACAATAGCTAATTAACCAGCGTGAACTTCCAAAAACAAAGGGCGCTTTGCGCTACAAAGCAAGTTTTCCGGGAAAAGATTGAAGGCGTACAAGTAAGCACGGAAATGGTCGCAGTTGTTTAGCACATCAATTGCAACCAAGGTGGCCGAACGAATGCTGGCGAAAGAGCAGGAATTCGAGGCTAGCAGGCGGCGAAATTGGCGACCGCGGTGGCGTCGCTAAAAATCGAGATAACGAACTGAAAGGGCGCGAGTGAGCGAGAGAGAAAGAGCAGCACGACTCTTTTGAGAGCCAGCATGTCTTGGGATTTATAGCGATGCAACGAGAACGCTGTTCTCTCCCCCCTCTCTATCACCGCCGAGGCATAAATCACGCGAGAGAGATATCCCTCGCTCCTTCTCACCTCTGTCTTCTCTCTTTGTTGTTCCTTCCTTCATCTCTCCTTTTTATTCGCTTTCTCTTGTTCTCTCTTTTCGACCGATGCTTTCTCTCTTTCGATCGTACGCTCGTTAATATTAATAAGCTTGGCGAAAAAAG